CCTGGAGCAGCTTGCACATGAGACGTAGACTGGACTTGGCAGTCAGCAGGCGGCTGACATGAGGGGTCCCATGACATGAGGACTTGGTGAGGCTGTCCTCAGGCCAGGTCACCTCTGCCACGGGAACCTAAGAGTCCCCTTGCTCACCTCTGCTACTCGGGTCCCAATCCTGTTGGCCCCGACAATGAGAGGCCTCTGAAGCAGGAGAGAGGCAGGAGGTCCTTGTCCCCGTTTGTTTGGGGGCTCACTTCTGCCTGCCCACACAGGCCCTGGTCTTGTGCAGACTGGGCCGCCAGCTCTGTCTCTGCAGAGACTCAGCTTGGGATGAGGAGGCCTGCTGCTGGACCCTGCCCCATCTGTCTTCCTGGGCTGTCTCTCATGGGGCAGAAGGACCCAGAAGCTCCCTGTGCTGTCAGCTGTGTCTCCGGTGTGTGGGGGGTCGGGTCACAAGAGGAAACCCTAGAAGCTGCTGTGGGAGGGTGGGGCCTGGGTAGGTGGCAGACGTGCATTTGGCCTGCTTCTGGGAGCCCCTTTTTACATTCACTTTGATTGAGGCCCAGAGAGAAGCTGGCTGGTGTCTCACTGTGGCCTTTGCCTGTGGCCTGCCTGGGGTGTCTGGTGTGACGAGCGAGGGTGAGAGGGCGTGTGCATCCTGTTGCTGTGGTCCTCAGCCGCACGCTCTGCCGAGAGGAAGACATTCTGCGCAGACCTCTGGTGCCTGGGTGCACCTCACTCTGACAGAATCTTCTGAGGCTGTGGCTGGACAGGGACCGGGAGCAGATGATGAGGAAGGTGATGGCCTAATGTATTCTGGGGAGGGTCTCAGCAGCAGGGTGGAGAGTGCACACGTGTGTGTTGGCATGTTGGGAACACTGAATAAGGGGCGATGACCTGAGATGTACCCTGGCTGACAAGGACATTTTAGTGTGTCTGCTGGGTCGGGGACCAGGGGACCAGGCTGACCAAGAATGTGGCCTTGGCCCTGTGTCTCTCAGTTTCTCCCTTGGGCCTCTGGATGTGGCTTTTCTCAGTGGCCCTGGATTCTGGAAAGTCCTCATTCCTGCCCAGGGCTGTGCTTTTAGACAGTGAGCCTAGCTCCCCTCTGGAGAGCCCTGGGAAGGAGGCCTCGAAGATATGCTCCTGGCCGTTCCCCACCAGGTGTTCCCCGGCCATGTGTCCTGAATCATCTGGACCCACCCGTCCCATGGAGGCAAGGATGGGTGCTGTGTGAGGAGGACCTGTTGGGCATCCTGCAGTGAGTGTGGGGTGCGAGGCACAGGAAGTGATGCCCCCACTGAGACAAACCTGGTGGGACAGGGGCTGTATTTTCCTCTGGGTTTGGTGGCTCTGCGTAGCCACCATCCAGGGACTCCCTCATTCGTGGGGCTCACCTGCTCCCAGCTGTCAGACGGCTTGGCTGGCTCCCATCTCATTGGAAGCAGGATGGCTGGGGATGACCTGGGCGTGCAGGCAGGGGACACTTGGAAAGGTCAGAAGGCCTCCTCCCTTCCCTGTTGCTCACAGGACCCTCTCACCAAAGCCTGCAGGTTCTGGCACCAGAAGGCCCCGTGCCATGCCAGGAAACTTCTCAGCCCTCCCAGGGGAAGCTGTGCCATTTCCTTCCGCAGCTGCTGCAGAGATGTTTGCAGAGGGCGGTTCCGGGGCCGTGCATGGGCAGCCCTGTCGCCACCAGCTTCACTCACGGCTGGCTGGCTGGCTTCATGGCTGGCTGAGGCCCTGGGAGGGGAAGTGCTGAAGTGGTGACACTGAGTGGCTCTGATAAGGCTCCCTAGACTGCTGTGGCAGAGGCCACCAGGCACTGCTCTTCCCCTGCCCCTCCTGCTGCTGCCCATGTCTCTCTCTGTCGCACAATCAAAGGCTGCTGCTGGCTTATTATGAAGTGAGAGATGTGGTAAGTGCCTGATGAGTGTAAATGATGTTTAGGGCCTGGGGTTTCCTCCTGGGATCTGTGTGGTACCCTGGATACAGTGTCTGTGCCTCCATGCTTTCCTTTCCATCCAATTCCTGTGCATTCTTCACAGCCCCGCTTGGTTGTGCTGTAGGCTCTGCTGGACCAGGCCCCTCCTGTACACCAGTCCCACTTACCCTTAGGGGAGCATCTGCAAGCTCAGCACGGGGCATCCTCTCGCCATTTGTGGACCCTCTCAGTGTGCAGAGTGCCGTGTGTACCTGTAGATGTGTCTCCTGGTGAGGGTGCTAGTGGGGTTGTGGAGCGCACCCTTGTGCCCCCGGCCCAGGGTTGCGCAGCATTTGGGTAGGGGGCTGGTCCTGGGCCGGTTCGTATTGGGTGCTTGGGGTCATCAGAGAGGCCTCCACAGCCACTAGGGCATGGCAGGGTCTTGCTGTGCAAAGTGGCAGTAGGGAGTTGGGGTTGAGTTGGGTGGTGGGAATTTGTCCTTGTCCCTCTCGCTGTCCTTGTCCCCCTCTAACAGCCATACCAGGCACTCCTTGAAGATAGCTGTGTGTACCCCTTGAAGATAGCTGTGTGTACCCAGTCTATCATCTCTGAGACTGAGCCGAGCACAGGGCAGGCCCTGGTGACAGATGGCTGGGGCAGCTGGCTTTGTCGTGGCGGGCCCTAGAAAGGGCATCAGGCAGTGTGGGTAGTGTCCCAGGCTGGCCCTGGCCTGGCACCAGGTGGGCAGGGTTGACATCCTCAGAAGTGTGGCCTGATTCAGGATCTTCAAAGGAAAGGCATGTTGGGGGACTTGGTGCTGGTCTGCTGACCTGTGGAGCTGCTGGGCTGCCTCTGCCCCGAGGGCTCCCTCTCCCTCCTTACCTCTTTACCTCTCTCTCGTCTCCCTCACAGAGATCTCTGGGGCCAGGGAGGAAGGTCAGGAGGGCCTGCGGGCTGGGCCCTTCCTCTCAGCCCCTGGTCCAGTTCCCCACTCTTTCTAGGCCATTCCTGTCCCCTGGCCTTGGGTTTCCCTCTGAGGTTTCCAACCAGAGGTAGCACAGGTGGGGTGTGTGTGTGTGTGTGTGTGTGTGTGTGTGTGTGTGTGTGTAAATGTGACAATATGTGTGAGTGTGTGCAATGGTAAGGGTCAGGTGATACAGGAGGTAGCTGGGCACTGGAGCAGCTCACATCTGACAGATCAGTCACACTGGTGCCATCTCCAAAGGACCCCAGCCATGCCTGCCACTGTTGCCCGCCACTCACACCTGGAGTAAACTTGGCTCTCTCAGTGCAGTTATGGGGGTGCGGGCCACTCTGCTCAGCTCACTTGTCAGCTGCCAGGGTGGGCATGCAGTGTGAGGTCAGCGGGAAGACGCCTGGTGCTCTGCTGTCTGAAGCTCCACCTGGGTGCAGGGCTGTAGTGGCCCTGCGGCCCCTGCTCATAACCACTGGCTGAGCCCCAAGGCTGAGGGTGGGAAGGCCTCAGCCTGAGGCCTTGTCTCTCTGCTTTTCACCATTCTGTGTTGCTACAGAAGAAGTACAAATGGCTCATAAATATGTGGGAAAGCACTCCCAATCTTTAGCTGTCAGGGAAATGCAAATTGAAACTTCCTTGATTCCATCTGGAATGGATGTTATCAAGGAAACAAAAAATAGCCAGCACTGATGAGGATGTGGGAGAAAGGGAGCTCCTCTATACTGTTGTTAGGAATGTGCAGCCGGTCTGAAATCAGTGTGGGGGTTCCTCCAAAAACTAAAAATGCAATGACCATGTATGTCATCCATCTGGGCTACTTGCTGTTGCCTGAAGGAGCTGAATTCGGCATACAGAGAGATCTGTGTGTCTGTGTTATTAGCCATTATTCACAAGAGCCAAGTTCCGAATCAGCACAGGGGCCCAGCAGCAGATGAGCAGAAAAAGGAGAGATGGTTATAAATACACCACGGAGTATTATTCAACCGTAAAGAAGGAGACAGTGTAGTTTGCAGGCAAATAGAATAGGAGATCATCACATTTAAGCAAGATAAGCTAGACACAGAAAGACAAGTTCATGGCTTCTCTTACCTGTGGAAAACACAAGAACCAAGATGACCCTGAAAGTAGGAGAGGGACTTAGGTTAGGGTAGAGGGAAGGCAGAAGGGAGGGCAGATACAATCAGAACACCTGGTGTGCCTGTCGGAAAAGTCAGGGTCTGACTCACTAATTCGTATAACTAATATACGTGAACAATTATAATAAAAGTATAAAGGAAAAAAATAACACGTCCGATGGAGAAATTTATGAAGAAAGGAAACTGATTTCTTACAGTTCTGGACCTGGGAAGTCCCAGGCCAAGGGCCACATCTGATGTGGCAGATGCCAGCACTGCAGAATGTGCAGGTGACCTCCAGAGAGCTAGGCCTGTGTCTGCAGCTTCTACATCCATGGACCCAGCCGGCCTTGGATTGGAAGCGTTTGGGGAAAACTGGTTCTGAAACGTTCCAAAGCTTGCTGTGCGCCGAGTACCACACTGAACCCGCACTGTGCGGCCTGGTGTGGGCACACTCGGCTGTGGCCTTGGAGTCCCACAACCTCGATTTCCCCCCAGTACCGCTGTTAGTGCTGTTCTTCCGTCACCTCATTCCTAGATCTGCAGCGTGGTTAGGCCTATAGTGCTGGTGTCAGCACTTAAAGTGTGGACTTTTTTCTTGTTATTCTCCAAATAATACAGTACAACACTACACAGCATTTCCACTGTGTCGTGTGTTCCCAGGAATCTGCAGGGGATGTCTCTTGGTTTCGCACCACACTATTGCGAGCCTGTGGGCTTTGCAATCCAGGTGGGGTCCTGCAACCTGGCTCCTGTGGATACTGAATGATGAGCACCACTCTCAAGATGACTTAATCTGTTTGTGAAGGCAGAGCCTTGGTGAGCTGGTCGTCCCCTATGATCCCACCTGCCGGCACTGAGGCTGCAAGGACAGCAGTGGCAGGAGATCTGATGGTCTGGGGCCCAGACATTGGCCTTGGTGACCAGGCACACTTGCTCTGGTGATTCTGCCTTGTAAGGTAACACTTCCCTTCTCTCTCTGCCTCTGCAGGTCCTCCAGAAGCTGGGGAAGGCGGATGAGACAAAGGATGAGCAGTTTGAACAGTGTGTCCAGAATTTCAACAAGCAGCTGGTGAGTGTGGTGGCCCTGGCCTTGGGGTGCTTGTGTGCAAGGAGGAAGAGGACAAGAACTGAGTTGGTAAAGAAGGGGAGCTGGGAGGACAGGGATCGGAATGAGCTGCTGAGGCCACAGAAGACTCCGGAGGAGGGAGTACCGGCCCTGAGCAGACTACTGGGAAGGGAAGGCAAGCTTAAGTCCTTGTGAGACCCAGAGAAAGTGTTGGGGATGGGAGGGGACCTGGGGAAGGAACAGATGTGGTTAGACTGTGGAAGGCAAATGGGAGCTATAGAAGTTTCTTACTAGGAGAGTGGCACCTGCAGGGTTTTGTGTAGGGGCAGAGCAGGCTGGATTTGATTTGGACATTAGCAAGCATGACAGGTTAGGCTGTGTGGCAGCTCTAGGCAGAGCCCTTTGTAGGTGACTGTGAATATTTCTGAGCAACCCAGAAATTGTTCCCATTGTTCCCATTTTGTAGATGAAGCAGTTGGGGCTCAGAGAAGCAGGGTCATTCACTCAAGTCCATCCAGCTTGGGAAGTCAGATCAGATCTGTGTTGATTTAATTCTAAAACCAGGAAGGAATCCCCAAGGAATCCTTACCAAGTTCTATTCTAAGCTATGGGTCAGTGATGAGAAGGGACTTCATTACATTAGTCACCTGGGGGCAGAGGTTAGGTACAAGGAAGAACTTACTACTGATGGGAAAACTCTTAACTACCCACTGTCCTGGCTGCCCCTGAAACAAAAGCCAGAGACAGCTATTTTTGTTGCTGTCACTGAGGACAGTAGAGAGGGAGATGACCCTGGCAGTCTCTTTCCCCTAGGGAGGGTTAGGGGGAGGAAAGAAGGGATACTAGGCCATGGCTTCATGGCAGTGCCAGTTAAGGAATGGTTCTGGGCGTGCAAGGTCAGGTTCTAAGCTCTGCTAGAAATGCAGCAGCATGGACCCTAATAGTGGAGCTAGGATAGGGATACTTCTGGTCTATGTCTGAGTCCTTGAAAAGCACTGAAGCTTCCTACAAAAACCTCTGCAGCTGGGTGAAACCTAGGAGAGGGAGTGTGTCCTTTGCAGACACTCATGGCTGAGGGATGGGAGCAGTTGGGAGAAGCCTGGTAGTGTGATGAGAGAGAGGATCAGGAAACATGCTGGGAGAAGGTCAGAGCATAATGGGAGAAGGTCAGAGAGCATGCTGGGAGAGGGCCAGAGAACATGAAAGTTAGTGTTTCTGGGACAAGGTCAAGAGCATGCTGGGAGAGAATCAGGAAGCATTCTGGGAAAGGTTTGGCGTTAATCTGGGAGAGGATCAGTAAGAATGCTGGGAGAAGGTCAGAGAGCATACTGGGCAAGAGCCAGGGAGCATGATGGGAGAAAGTTGGTATTTCTGGGACACGGTCAAGAGCATACTGGGAGAGAGTCATGAAGCATTCTGGGAAAAGGTTGGCATTCTGGGAGAGGGTCAAGAGCATGCTGGGAGAAAGTCAGGGAGCATGACAGGAGAAGTTCAGGGAGCATACTGGGAAAGGGTCAGAAAGCATGCTGGGAAAGGGTCAGGGAGTGTGATGGGAGAAAGTTGGTATTTCTGGGACAAGGTCAAGAGCATTCTGGGAAAGGATCAGGAAGCATTTTGGGGAAGGATTGGCATTATTCTGGGAGAGGGTCAAGAGCATACTGAGAGAAGGTTGGCATTATTCTGGGAGAGGGTCAAGAGCATTCTGAGAGAAGGCTAGGAGCATGCTGGGAAGGACTGAGAAGGGCAGGAGGGCAATAGTTTTGCCCTCTGACCTTCCAGAGAAGTTCAGCACATGAGGGTCCATCATGGCTGCTTCTCCAGGACAGTAATGGGAGTTTTTTCAAGGTCCAGATAGGCACATAACAGGGAATTTATGCCTTGGTTTTCTTACCTATAAAATGTAGGGGAAATTTGTAGTCTCAGTGTCTGATTCTGTCTCTTGGATGTGTCCTCTAGTCACTGGCTTCCTCAGGTTATAGGCAGCTGTGAAGTCTTTGTAGGGGTACTGTGGGCTGGTTTCTTGTATGTGCTTAACAGATGTATCCTTGCAATCTTTGTAATGGGATGTTGATAATTCTTTTTTTATTTTGTAGATGAGGCACAGGAGGCTCAGAGTTTGGGCAACTTCTGAAGTTCACACAGCTGATTTGGGAGCATAGAGGCTTAAAGTCAGATCCTGGATTCTTTCATTTATTCTCAGGTTCCCTCTTTGGAACTATGCTGAGAGCAGTGGGCAGGGCTGGTGAGAAAGCCACAGTCTGGGTATGGGTAGGGTAGGGGTAGGGTAGGGGTAGGGGTTGGGATGGTAGTGGAGGGTGATGCAAGCACAGATGTAGGAGCTGAGGTTCCCAGTAGCCTGCTCTCAGAACTGAATCTACAGCATTGTTCTCCCTGCTTGCCAGCCAGGGTCATCCTGCTGGGTCCCTGGCCAGGGGCAGACAGTCACTTACTGATCCTTAGGCAGAGGTGCCTGGCAGAGAAGCCAGGGCTACAGACAGGTGGTACTGGTGGCTGTCTGGTTGTCTGGGCTTGGGGTCCCCTGAGCTGAGGCTCTGCCTCCAGGTTGGCTGGGGTGGCTGGCTGTTCAGGTGCCAGAGGTAGGAAGTAGGCGGTTTTGAAATCTCTTTGCAGTCTCGGGTAACCTCCCTCCTCGGGGTCACGGCAGCTGGCGGGTTCTGGGTTTGCCTGGGTGTGAGTATAGCTGCTGCCGGTGGGAAGCCGAGCTTGGGGCCCAGCTGCAGTGAGTGCAGGGGGACAGCTCCTTTCTCATCTGCACACCGTGTGCCTGCTCGCAGCTGAAGGTGGGGAGCCAGAGGCCTGGCGGTCTACCCCAGAGAAACACCGGCTCTGGGAGTGGAAGGAATTTTAGAGAGTGCTTTCGTTCCATTCCACACCCCTCTTTATTATATGAGGTAACGATTGAGATATGCATGGCGAAAGTCTAGATCTAAAACGAAATTGCCACTGTGAAAGACACAGTGCCGTTAAGCTCCCTGACAGTCCTTCTGCGTGCCTTGCACACATGCAGCCCATCGATCTTGCCACTTTCAGAAGCAGTTCTGGAAGTGCTCTTTCCAGAGTGTCTGTGAAGTGTGATTTAAACACACAGAGTGCTTCTGTTGAGTGCCACCCAGCAGAGTGGTGAATGGTAAAGCCGTGGTGCCATGTTCTCTGCACCTGTTCCCTGTGCCCATGACTGTGGGCTTTTCCTCAAAGTCAGAGTGGTCAGCAAAGGTAAATGCTTTGAATCGATCCAAGACATCGACACACCTGTGACAAGCAACTAAAGATTCAAGAGAGAGGGTTCCAGAACTGCTCCAGAAAGGACTGGTGGGTTGAAGCTAGAGGGCGTATTTTGAGGTTTAATGTTGTTTTGCTTTTTGAGACAGCATCACTGTGCAGTTCAGGCTGGCCTTGAACTTGACAGTGTTCTCCTGCCTTGGCCTCCCGAGTGCCAGGATTTCGGGTGTACCCCACCACACCCGCTGGGTTACTGGTATTAAAGTGTCTTTTACTCTAATAAATGACTTTCATTTAAACATGCACTGTTTTTGATCATGCCACATACAGTGTGCCGCTCTAAACCCTTCCTGCTATGCCTCCATCTAAGGGGAAAGGGCCTACTGTAATAAATAGGCCAACCTGTGGCTTCCCCAGGGCCACATCACTGTGTGAGCACTCAGCACCCTGCAACCCAGGACCCGGCCTTGTGGGGTCTCCCGTTTTCCAGTCCGCATGACTGGGCAGGTGGCCCCTCAGCTTCCTGGCTCATCAGGCCGGGACCGAGATAGTACATGGAGCCGTGGACCCCAGGAAGGAGCAAGGCCTGTGTGTGGGGATGGAAGGGGCATGAGGGGCTGTGATAAGCCTAGGAAGCTGGCTGCCCATGCCCCCCTGGAGGGAGACCTGCAGGTAGGGACCTTGTCAGGGGTGCTAGATCTTCCAGGACCATGACCAGCTACTGGGCTACATCTCCCTAAGGGGCTAGGGGTGTCTCTGTGAGGTGGCCAGTGCAGGGGCACAAGTGATGCTTCCGGTAACACGGGGCAGCCTCAGCCACTGCTGCCATCTTCTTGCGTCCCTCTGCTTGAAGCCTGTCTCCCGAGGCCATCAGGGACCTGGCTGTTCCCTGAGCAGCTGCAGTGCGCCAGGCAGGGTCATTGCCTCCATGGGCAAGTGAGGAGACACAGGTTCAGATAAGCTCCTTCACCTGTGTGCTACAGGCCCCAGCCCACCTGTGCTCCCCGTTTCTCACGTGAGTTCTGGAAAGGTCCACTTCTCATGGTGGCTTCAACCTGGTGGTCACCCCTTGAACGTGTTGTCTTCTCGATCTCTGTTTCTGTGGTATCAGTGGCCCAGGGGACTCGAGTCCAGCCTGCAGCTCTGCCCATTCTCGCCACTCTTCCCTGTCCGGGAGTTTCCTGCAGGCCAGGCCCTCCTTGCTGCATAGGTCCTGTGTCCTCTCACCGCATGACCTTCTGCAGCCCACCAGCACCTGCCTCTTTCGGAAGCTGCCTCCCTTTGGGGGTGCACTGCCATCCACCCCACAGTGCCCTCCTGTCCCGTAGGGCCCACCCAGGCCTTCCTTGCTTGCCAGCATGCTGGAGATCTGATTTGGGCACCACTGAGCAGGTGTGATGAGCTGCCTCCTGGTGGGACCGTGACCTGCACTTGCCGGTCTCTTGTCCACCATTGTCTAGGGAAGGTCCGTCCTCTGGACCTGTGCGCCATGTCGTGTGTGACATATAGCTGCCCCCACTGTGGCAGCTCCAGGGCACAGGCACCCTGCTTTCCTGACAGAGCTGGGAGGGGTGACTGACAAGGGGCCCCCAGGACTCCTGAGTGGGGGCAGCATTTGGAGTGCAGCGCCGTTCAGTGTGTGCTTACTGCTGCTGTCCTCTGAGGACGGCTGGGTGGTGGCTGCTGCCACAGCGGCTTGTCTTGTCATGTGGGCATGGCAGAAGGAGGTTGGGGACCCGAGATCATCCCAGACCCTGACCTGTTTCTCACCTTTCTTGGCAGACTGAAGGCACACGGCTGCAGAAGGATCTTCGGACCTACCTGGCCTCGGTCAAAGGTCAGGCTGGAGGGAGAGCTGGATGCGGAGCTGGTGGGCGCGGAGCTGGGAGGGTGGCAGGGTGCATGCATGGCAGGGAGGGTGTGTGGGGCTGTCTGCAGAGGCCATCTGCCTCTTCTCTGCCCCACAGCCATGCATGAGGCCTCCAAGAAGCTGAACGAGTGTCTCCAGGAGGTGTATGAGCCCGACTGGCCCGGCAGAGAGGAGGCAAGCAAGATCGCTGAGGTAGGGGTTGTGTAGGGCAGGCGGTTATGGCCCTTCCCAGAGAACCTCTGCCACACATCCTATCCCCCAACCTCACACTTCTTGCCAGGTCTTGGTATGCCTTGGGCACACATGTATGCTGTGTGTGCTTGGGAAAGCTGCCTTGCCTCTGAGGATTGTGCTTCTCCTGACACTGTCACTGAGGGATGAGGTGACAGATTGAGACCAGGGAAGTCTCCTTCGCCAACCCCCTCGGTCCTGAGTGTGTTCAAACCTCACAGTCTTCCTTGTGAGAAACTACAGGGCAGGAGTTGTTACCCCCCTTGGATAGATGGGCACACCGAGGCCCTGAGACCCCTTTCCCCCAGAGCTTTGAAGCAGTGGAGATGGGGCTGATCCAGAGGCCTTGGGGAGTGCGACTGGGCCCTGCTCCCTGGTGGCCACTCTGGGGCTGCTGTCTGTTTCAGAACAATGACCTTCTATGGATGGACTACCACCAGAAGCTGGTGGACCAGGCGCTGCTGACCATGGACACCTACCTGGGCCAGTTCCCTGACATTAAGGTGCGAGCTCTGTGGGTAGATATGTCCTGCTCCACTCAGCAGCTGAGGGGCTGGGGTGGGGGCAGCAAGGAGAGGCTGGGCCTGGCTCAGGCCCGGAGGTGACTGCCTCCGCAGCCCTGCCCACCTTGCACCTGCCTGGGGCCTCCCCCTTGCACTCACCAGGTATGCTTGTGTGGCTGTGTGCTCTGGAATGACTGTGATTGTGTGAGATGCCGTGTGCTTGAAGGCACTGTGTGTGCCTGTTACTTGGGTCTCTCTGTCTGGACAGGAGGCTGACTGGCTGCTGGCTGAACCCACACACATGCTAGGAGCTCTCAGAGAGTCAGGCTGTCTCCAGGCGAGCAGGCCCTGTGCTATGTCAAGCCAGGGTGGCAGCCACTGTGTGGAACCTGATCCAAGAAGGCAGCTGGGGATGTCACGCTGGAGGGGCCCCTGGGCTACCCAGTTCCGATGCCTCAGACTCCCTGATGCTCTGGGGAGAAGCCAGGGCCCAGGAGGCACCTGAGGAGCTCCTGGCCTAGAAGACACTGGGCCTGTACCATCCTAGCCAGTGTTGCCAGGAAGCTGGCTGGCCTTGGGGGGAGGCTGTGCTGGAGATGGGCCCCTGCCCCTGCAAGGACTCCAGCTGAGTGCCCAGCAGCCTCATCAGACCCCCTGCTGGGGCTCTCCATGCGTCTCTGTCTCCTCCTTTTCTCTGGGCCCAGCCTCGACGGGCACCTCCACATGGACCCCAGGGCCCACTGACCTCTGCTTTCTGCATTTGTCTATCCTACAGTCAAGAATCGCCAAGCGGGGGCGGAAGCTGGTGGACTATGACAGTGCCCGGCACCACTACGAGTCCCTGCAAACTGCCAAAAAGAAGGATGAAGCCAAAATTGCCAAGGTAAAGGCTGGGGGGTTCAGGGGCACCCAGGGGAGCAGGGGTGGGGGTAACCTAGTAGGGAGGCTTAGGTCCGAGACTGCTAAGAAGGTCCCTCCTGCTCATGTACGGGTCCCCCTTGCCCTCTGGAGGCCCCTCTGCCCTGCTCTCGTGCCTTTTCCAGGAGAGGAGAAGTGGGTTTGGGTTTCCTTGGAACGGTGCTGCCCTGTCTGGTACATGGAGTGGAATTCTGTCACGGGATCCGAGGTGGAGGTGACCTAGCCCTGGCTGGAACAAGCTGGTGGGCTGGTCTCAGGCCATGTGGTGAGGGGCTGGGGCAGCTCCCCAGCTCCCTGGGGCAGGACCCTGCTTGCTGCACCTCTGCTGTGTTAACGACTCTCCTGTTTGCCTTGCAGTTGGAATTCACCCTCTCCACACCACCTGGGCGGCTCCCTTTAATTCTCTCGCCGCAGAGGCCTTTCCTTGTGGTGGGGCTGACTGCTCTGTCCTGTGAGCTCGGTGTTTAACATCTGTGTCTGTTTCTCTCTCCCTATCTGCCTCCTGTCTCTCCACTCCCCTTTGCCTTGACCTGCCCCCTCTCAGCCTGTCTCGCTGCTTGAGAAAGCTGCCCCCCAGTGGTGCCAAGGCAAACTGCAGGCTCATCTGGTAGCCCAAACTAACCTGCTCCGAAATCAGGTGACACTCGCTTCTAACATTGCACGTGCTGATGCCATCTGGTCTGTCATCCTGTCCTCTAGTTAGGTGCCTATCTGCCCAGCAGGCCAGGCTTCCTGAGCAGGTTAGGCACAGCCACCTGCTGAGAGCCAGGAGCGGCCTCCAAATCCAGCCCTGACCTGGCGCTGCCAAGTGCAGCCAGGCAGGGGCTTCTGTTAGTTCTGTTCGACCCAAGAGTCTGAGGCAGACAGAGGCTGGGGGCCCGGGATGTCCCTGTGAGGCTTCTCTGCAGTCCTTGCACCCAGGAGCAGGACTAATGTCACTGGGCCATTGGTTTTCCCTGAGGACTTGGTGAGAGGGAGGAGGTGACATTAGGACTCCTGCCCTGGTGTGCACTGTCCTTCCAGCTTCCCAGAACTCCAAGGTTGTCCTGAATGCGCTGAGGAGACAGAGCTGCCTGGGGACACAGGCTCCTGTCCAGGCTCGCAGAGTCAGTTAATGACAGAGCTGGGGCTCATCCGTCCTTGAGATGGGCCGGTGTGGCTGGGGCCCACAGGAGGTTGGGCCCCAAGAAAGGTGGACCACACGGTTGCTCCTCCAGTGAAACCTTGGCATAGGCAGCCTGAGGAGGTTTGGGGTTCCCTTCATACTGGGGGCTCCATGAGGATGGGGCAAGCATCACTGGCTGACCCATGAGTGATGACAGCCCCATCCAAAGGTGGGTAGCAGGGTGACCTTGGCGATCCAGGGCCTCTGGAGATGACCTGGGGGACTATTTATGGGGACAGCAAGAATCCTGAGAATTCCTCAGCTGCTTTGGGACTGTGGGTGGGGCTGGGCTGGGAAGGTGCCCTAAAAAGCATCTTGGAATACTCCACAAGATGGGTTTGCCTTTCCAAGGCATGGGCTTGTCACTTGGATCCCCTTTCTATTTGACCATGCCCTCCTCTCCCCCAGGCCTGGCTAAGCCGTGGTGGCCGAGCGTGAGCAAGGGCACTTGGGGCCCAGTGTGGCCTGGCTAGGGGGAGTAGTACATCCTCTCCCCAACTTTTTGCACCAAGTACTTCCAAAAGGGCAGAATATGAGGACTGTGATCCAGAGGGAGTACCGGACAGTGGCTATCTGGGAAGTCTGAACCAGACCTGCCCAGTTGGGTAGTGTTGGTGGGACCTCCCTACTCCGATCCATTGCAGGAGTCATACAGGTTGATCCAGCGTTTCCCCCTAACCCCACTTCACGAGACAAGGAACCTTGTGCATGTTAGTGAGCACCAGAGGGGACCAGTCGGAAGGCATGGTGCCCTCCCACACTTTTTGCCCCACCTGTTAGCTAGGAGGGACCGGCCTGCTGCTGCCAGCAGCTCTCTTGAGCTGGGCTGGGCTGCCTGACTCGGGAAGGAACAGCTGTCCAAGCTTGGGAAAACTGAGTGCTTTGGGAAAGAGCCTTCGGCCAGCTGGTTGCTTTTGCCATAGCCCAGTCTGAGAACGTGAGGTTGCTGGCGAGTTTTCTCCTGGGTGGGGCCACCACATTCCTGGGCTGTGACTCAGACCTGAATCTGAGTCATCCCCAGTCACTTTCAGCAGCATCCTCCAGAAGAAAGCTGCCAGCGTCCGCCCCTGCAGTGTGAGTTTGCACGCCTCTGTCTGGCTGGTGGGGCCTTAGCGCCCCCTGGTGGATGCGAGCAGCCTGCGCAGTTTAGGAGGGCAATCAGCCCCAGGGTCCACCTTCCCCTGTCACCCTCTTCTGCCCCTGCCTGAGCCTCTGCCTCAGGACTCCTGGTGAGACAGGTTGCAGAAAGCAGGGGGATAAAGTTGAGTGGGAGCTGATCCTTCAATAGAGGAAAGGCGCCCTCGGGAGACAGCAGCGAAGCCAGCAGCCCAGGGCCCAGAGGCAGGGCTGGCTCCAGCTGGAGTGGAGTCACACAAATGTAGGCAGTGCTGCCACCTGGCTGAGTTTGGGGTCAGACTCTTATGTTCTTCCAGTCACAAGCCTTCTTGCTGTGCCCTGTCGTCCAGGCCGTGTGGGCCAGATAGGGTGGTTACCCTCTACCACGGCTGCCATCCCCTCTCCTTTCCAAAGTGGCCAGAGGACTGTCACAGGGGCCCCGGGAACTGCAGTGGGAGGTCCCTGGGGTGTCAGGCACAGCCCAGCCTCTGCCTGCCCAGAGCCCTGGGCTTGCTCACTGGGCATGGGTTAGGGAATGAGGTGCTTGGGGATGGCCTGGTTCCTGATCGAGGCCCAGAGAGGAAATGACCTGTCCGCCCTCAGGCTGAAGAAGAGCTCATCAAAGCCCAGAAGGTGTTTGAGGAGATGAATGTGGACCTGCAGGAGGAGCTTCCGTCCCTGTGGAACAGGTGAGGCCAGGAGGGCCCCTGTGCCTCCTGCATCCCTGTGGTGCCTACCGCCCTCCTGGGGTTTGTGTCTCTGAGGGCACCCGTGGTCCTGTGCGAGTACCTGGCTTGAGAAGTTGACCCCACAGGCTCTCCTGGGCCAGCTACCCACCTTCTCCTCTTCCCCTTCCCACTGGCAGCCGTGTAGGTTTCTATGTCAACACGTTCCAGAGCATTGCAGGCCTGGAGGAGAACTTCCACAAGGAGATGAGTAAGGTAGGTGTGGACTCCCTCCAGGCCTCAGGGCTGTGCTGGCCAGGACCAGAGGCCAAGGCATGGAGGTGGTAGCCCAGGCTCCCCTGTCCCTGCTGGGGATAGCACACGAGTGACCAGGGAGACCCCCTAAGTGGCCACCTACTCGGGTGAGACTGTGAGTGGGCCCCAGGTCCAGCCCTGACCTCCTCCCCGTGCCTGGAGTAGTCCTGGAGGACAGGGACCAGTTTTCAGGGTTCCCTCTTTTTTCTTCCCCTCAAAGATCTTAGACCTCTCCCCTCATTAGAAAATTTGTGAAAAGTTCAGCAAATAAGCATTTTGGGGGAGGAAAGTTTTATTTAAAGTTAGTCTCTGGAAATATATGCCACAGAGCACAGTTCTGTAGAAGTGGGAAGAAAATTTATCTCTCAGCTTCTTTGTTGTCCATGCAAAGAGGGAAACATGCTCAGTGCTGCCTGCCGAGGCTAGTGTGAGCGGGACCTCCGCTCTTGCTGTGCTTCCGGTGGGATTTCTGGAGTGGAGTGTAGCCTGAGAAGTATCTTGCAAAGTGGCCTAGACAATGGATCAACAGTGAGTCTATAAGAAACAGTTTTCATGGAAAACATCCTGGCCTCTGTAGTATTTTAGGCAGTCCCTATACAGAGCAAGAAAGGACAAAGAGAGCTCCCAGAAAGTAGACCTGACATGCACTCAGCCCGCTTTCTATTCTTTTTCCCCAGATTTTGGTGTCTTTGCTGTGCCAGTTCTGGCTGTCACTTTAGGGACAGAGGCACTCGCTTGATCTGGGGAGGGGCAGGGGCTGGTGAGCAGCAGGAGTTTCTGGGGCAGGGACTGTTGGGCGGCCTTGGAGGCTCCATCTGCTCCCTGTCTCTTCCACAGCTCAACCAGAACCTCAACGACGTGTTGGTCAGCTTGGAGAAGCAGCACGGAAGCAACACCTTCACAGTCAAGGCCCAGCCCAGGTGCGCAGGCTCTGTGGTGGGACCAGTGGCTGGCGGGGCTTGGGAGCTGGCTTCCTGGGACCTGTCTGTGGTTGGTGCCTTCACTGGGCCCATGGGCTTGGGCCTGGGGCTCTGCGTCCTTTGTAGCTCAGCCTCCATGCATCGAGGATGAAGATGAGAGCAGGTCCCTGTCGTTAGCTGCTCTTGTCCCAGTGTTCCGGGAAGGAAGGTCACAGGCCTCTCCCACTTGAGGAGTAGGAGCGAATCAGGGGGAGGCAGTGCTTGGCGTTAGGGGTACAGGACTGAGTGGTTCTTCAGCTGGGGCCTCCTGGGAAGCTCAGGCACTTGCAGTCTGCCACCTCTGTGTGCTGCCCTGTACCCTGCCTGGCTCTCGACCCTGGGACCAGCTGCTGAAGAGCTTCATGTTTCCTGCTGGGAGCCCCTAGCTGTAGGGAAAATACCACTCCTCTGGCTCAGACTGGGGGTATCGGGGAAGCCTGGGATTTCCCTTTGGTTTAGGGTGTGTGTGTGTGTGTGGGTGGGTGTGTGGGTGCACGCATGCATGTGTTGGTGAGGGTGTGTTGGTGTGTACACAAGTGCCTGCCCCAGGAGTGCAGAGCACCATGAGCTTTGCTTTCTGTGTCTGCAAAGTGGGGCGATTGTATCTGCTTCTTGGGGTGATCGGGGTGTTGCCCAGGCTAAGGAAGTATGTAGTGCATGTTGTGGGCCCTCTGAGTGGTACCAAAATATGTGGGAAGGAGAAAGGCCCGTGGGTGCCGGGATGCAGCTTGGGGTGGTGGGGCGGAATCTGGCAGGCTGGTTCCAGGATGGTGAGTGCCCCTGATGGGGCGCTGGGACTGCTGCTAGGAAGAGCGATCCGGGGAAGAGGGAGGGCCGGAGGTGGAGTTTGGGCCTCGGCCGACGGGCTGACCCATCCCCTCTTGGTAGCCTTCATTTCTGGGGCCACACACCCACCAAGCCCTTGGCCTACAGAGCCCCTAGAGCCTCTAGCTGGCCAAGGCAGCGCCTGTCCCCTCCTGCATAGCTGGACCCTGGCACACGTGGCTGAGCGCGGTACTCTGTGCCCTCAGCCTCCGGAGAAAAGCGCTGGTGGGGAGGGCAGAGGTCAGGGCCTATCGTTTCTGGTTTCCCCAAATGAAGGCCTCCATACCCCGTCGGTCCCCACAGAAAGAAAACTAAACTGTTCTCTCGGCTGCGCAGGAAGAAGAACAGGTATTGCGGGGAGCAGCCCCGCAGCGGCGCATGCACCCGACAGGGTGACACTAACCCTAACCCTGACTGCCCGCCTGCGTGTGGTGCTGTGTTCGTGTGGGGAGGGCCCGGGACCAAGGGGCTAGGGTGGCCCAAGGTGTGGCCCGGCGTTACTCCATGCTGAGGGAGAGACTGGGACGGAGCCCAGGAAGGGACACTGCAGCAGGTGGTTTCTGGAAACAGTCACATGTGTAGGATGTGCTGTGTTGGCAGGAGCTCCTTAAGGAGGCAAGCATCCCATAAAACACACATCCCACACTGTCCACCCCAACCATGCTGGCCTCCACAGTGGCCACCTCTAGCCCTATCGAACACCTGCAGCGTGGCCCTGTGACCAGCGTGGGAGCTTGCTCGGTTTTACTAGTGACCGTCATCCCAAGGCCAGGGGTTGCCACATTGAGCAGCACTGTCCTGGAACTTTCTCCTACAAGTGTGGAAGGAAGAATTGTTTTGTGGCCACCACACCCTGTGGCTGCTGGGCGCACTGCCATTCCTCCACCGCATTTACCCAGGCTCTGCCTGGTCTTTGGTGTCTGTGGATGTCTCTCCAGGACATGCAGATGGGGAACGAAATATGGAGATAGTGAGGGGTCGGGAAGTGGGCAGTGGGGCTGGCCCTGTGGGTGGACAGGCCGGGGCGCTGCTGTGTGACGTGGGGTTGACTCACTTTGCGTCTAGGATGCCTGGCTTGCGAGTGCTGGGCTCTGGGAGAGCCTGGTGAGACCTGTGGGAATCCCGACCTGACCCTGCGTGACCTCGTGGGAAGGGGGTGCATGGCCAGGCCCCTGCATTCCTGCCCCTGCACGTCGCTTCCCTCTTCTCACATATACACCCTGACATGGAGATCCATGAAGACACGTGTGCACAGACACGTGGGTCCTGGGGACACACATGCCTGGATTGGTGGGGCTAGTACATGGACACATTTTCACATGTGGCGCTACATGTACATGCACTGCGACAGGAGTTCTTGGGGCTCACACGTCACACAGGCACAGGAGTAAGGCCCGGAGTGGCCTCGGGCACCCACGTGTGTAAACAGCCCCTGGCTGGAGCCTGAGTCCACTCATCCTCTGCTGTGGCCCCCTGCATCGGGCTCCCTCTCCTCTCTTGTCCTCCAGTGACAACGCCCCTGCGAAAGGGAACAAGAGCCCTTCCCCTCCACCGGATGGCTCCCCGGCTGCCACCCCTGAGATAAGAGTGAACCATGAACCAGAGCCGGCCAGCGGGGCCACACCTGGGGCCACCATCCCCAAGTCCCCGTCTCAGGTAGGCATAGTGACCCAATGGTCTTCACCCCTCCCTTCTTTCTTTGCTGTTGTCTCCTGTCCCCTTCTGTCCCCTGCCTGGCCTGAGGTAGGTTTGGAAGGGAAAGTTGGGTCTGGACTGTGATCCTTTTGGGCCCCCACAGCCTAGGTGGGCTCAGCAGCCACAGATCATGTCGAGGGGGCTGGGATGTGACCATCCCGTGGCCTCACCTCTCCCTCTTCCTGGCCTTTCTGCTGCTTGACTGTTGCTCTTCTTTTCCTTACTCTCTGGACAGACATGAGTCTCCGGAGGGGGCTGGCTGCCTTCGGTCTCCTGCAGGAGGCTGGGAGGTGCCTTACGGGTGGCCACATAGGACCGTGAAAGGGACAGGAAGGGGTCAGTGAGGCTGTGTGGGGGCTGAGGAGGATAGGCCTGGGCTTCTGGACTGTGCTGTTTCACCTGGCCTTACCCCAAAAGACCTCCCCACCAGGTTCCCGAGGGAGCGGGAGCTGCAGTTGCATGGGGCCGAAAGGGGTAAACCCTGTTGGTCTCAGGCTGTGACCCTAGTGGGTGATGAGTACCGTGGTGCTAGAGCAGTGACGATGCCCAGTGTTCAGCCTTCCTCTGGACACTGCCGGTACTTCCTGCATTGATGTCCACTGATTCCTCCCTGCTGCCCTGAGCAATAGCCCGGAGAGGTGATGGAGCCAGCTCTGCAGTGATGTGACCCACCCACCTGTGGGCCCCAACTGGTGAACAGGGGTGTGGCCCTCCTGGAACCTGGCCCCATGCTGGTTTCCCCAAGCTGTGCTGCAGCTCTGGGCCAGGGAGGACTGCGGTGGCCAGGGAGATGGCCTGTCATGCCTCTAGGTCCTCTCCCAGTGACCCTCTCCTGGGCACCCGAGCTGCTTTCTCCCTTTCTTTTGACCTCGCTTGCCGTCCTCTCGTTTCCCTTTTACTTCTCCCCCTCATTCTCCATTTCCTCGGCAGTCTTTCTGGACCTCCTGCCAAGGTCTCCCTCCTGGGATGGCCCGAAGTCCGGTGTCCCTGTCCAGGGAGCCACGAGCCTCCCTTACCTTGTCTTCTTCAGCTGCTGGGTGGGACTGTGGTGGGCGGTGACTCACGGTCACTTTGTCTTTGTCTCCCTGACGCCCACGCTGTGCTGTGCCTCCTGTGCTGCCTTTCGCCTGCTGACCCACAGCTCCGGAAAGGCCCACCGGTCCCTCCGCCCCCCAAACACACCCCATCCAAGGAGGTCAAGCAGGAGCAGATCCTCAGCCTGTTTGATGACACGTTTGTCCCTGAGATCAGCGTGACCACCCCCTCCCAGGTCAGCCGTGGCCACCACAGCCCGGTTCTCTCTGCTCCTCTTTGGAGCCTGCATGGCCTTCATCTTCCATCCCACACCCTTCCCAGGAGCCTGGCATCTGGCTCCAGAGGTTGCCTTGAGTCGCTCTTTCTTATCCATCCCACCCTCATCTTCCATCACCATCACCATCATCACCATCACCTCCCACCTCTGAGTGTGCACTGTGGCCAGACACAGGGACACAGAAGTGCAGGGTCTCCTCACCTGCCAGCAGTGGTGGTCAGCTCAGGGATGACCTTAAAGCATGATTCATGCTACAGCAGGAGTATGGAGGGCTCACGGGGAGAAAGTGACATTTGCCTGGTGGGTTCTCAGGCAGCACTTTAGCCAGAGACAGAGGAGATGGATGGGAGGCATGGAAGGCTCTCTGTGGTGGCTGCTCAGGTTAGTGTGTGTGTGTGGAGGAGCAGCCCCTGGAGCAGTTGCATATCCTGCAACGGCCCTGGCATGGAAGCATCAGCTCTTAGGGCTGCAGCCCATGGATGCCCAAGGGGCACATTATGGGTGTCCACTTCCCGATGGGCCTGGGCCCACCAGGGGCTGGGCAGGGAGGAGCCTCTCATGTTGGAAGGCTGGCTGCATTGGAGTGGCCGGCACACTGTCAGCTCAGCTTAGGATGATGGAGAGCTTCCCACTCAGGGCTGGCTCCTCAGCCTCATGGCCTCCTTCCTGCAGGTCAAAGCTTTTGTGGGGATGGCAGGTCCACACTGCAGGACCTGACTAAGGGGATTTTTCTGGAGCCCTGCCCAGTAGACTGTGGGCTCCTCTGCATGGTTGGGAGGAGAGGATTGGAGGCTGCATGGGAAGGCCCTACCCGAACCAAGAATAGTGGTCTCTGCTCAGAGAGGTTTGGAAGGCTGGATTTCTAGCTCCCCGGAAGGACTTTGGGTTAGGACCAAGAGACTTCACATGCAAGGCAGGTGGCAGATGGGTGGGGCCCTGCCAGAGCTCTGGAGGGCAATGTGGGCTCCTCTGGGAGACATAGGAGTAGCCTGAGAGATTAGGGGTGCTGAACACCAGGGCCGCTTGCTGCCAACTCTCCCCTGTCCATGTGTGCTGGTGCCCCTGGGGAGCCCAGGCAGGCTGGACAGTGTGTCTTTAGACCAGGAACATGGGGTAAGCATGACACTTAGCAAAACTGAGCAAGGTTTGGTCCCCACCATGTGCCTGTACCACCTTTCCTGATTCTTACATACCTGGCAGAGAGCACTGCCTCATTTTGCAGGAGAAGGAACCTGTGCCTAGGCTTCATGTGGACCTGTCTCTCATGTCACCACCCACCTCCCTTTCCCATACCCATGCCTGACCAGTGTGGGGTAGGGGTGGTGTCATGTTCAGCAGGGCTGGCCTTGTCCTGGCCACATTGCTGTTGTCCCTGGGGCTGCTCTGCTGGGATGTGGTGAGTCTCAGTCTGTCTGTGTGGTGTGAGGTGTCACCTGCCATGGTAGGCAGTGAGAAGTTGGCCAAGACTCTGGCTGTGACCCTCCCGGAGTACTGGATTGTGTGCTGTGGCCTTGGCTGGCTTCTGAGGAAAGAGAAGGGTGCTGAGAGGTTGCCTCCCGTGGCGGAAACTCCTGTGTCCCTGCAGTTGCTCCTTGGGGGTGGCCAGCCGAATGGGCTCCACAAGAAGGGCTGGGCTCTGCGGAAGAGCTGGTTTCTGGGGCTGGGCTCCCTGGGTCCTTGGAAGTGAGTCTGCCTGTGTGTGGCCCTGAAGGCTGGTGCTGTGTGACAGCCAGGCCTGAGTGTCTCAGCACCTGGGGTGCCCTGCCCAGAGCACTATGTCTGGGGCCATGATGGAGGCTGGGCAGCAGACTCAGGCCTGAGGTTCCCTTCTCAGTGCTTGGTCCTGTCAAGAGTGAGGGTAGCTGGGCAGCTGGCGAGGGGAGATCCCTGTGCCACATACCTCTCTGGGGCCTGGGAAGGGGGAACCCACAGAATAGACAGAGGCCGCAGCCTGTGAGCCCCATTCACAGCAGCTGTGCCTGGCTTTTCCACCTCAGGGCTTATCTGAGTCCGTTTACTCCTGGCCCTGCCAAAGGGCTCTTCTGGCTGAAGCCAGGCCTCTTGAGAAGGCATTCTCTGGGGTGGGGGCTGGGGTGCCCTGGGACGCTCTGAAGCCCTGTAACAATGTGAACCCCACTTTGAAGATCTGTATGCTGGGGCAGTCCCTTCCTTGTCCCTGGAGCCAGAGGGTCACTTGCCTGGGGGCCTCTTGGAAGGGGGGGCCCACAGGGGGTTGAGGCTGTTTCTGCCACGCAGGTGCAGGGTTGGGGCGTGTGGAGCAGAAGCAGAGGCACAGGCTCCCGGAGGCCCCAGCCTGGGGTGGGGGTGGGAAGATCTGGCCCGGCCCTGGTCTCACAGCAGCTGGGTGTCTGAGGTGTACGGTATCTCCATGTGAAGCTCATGTCATCATCAGGTGTGGTTGTGGGCACTGCTGTAGTGCATGTGTGTGTCTGTGTGTGTGTGTGTGTGTGTGCGTGCATGCACATGCGCGTGCACACCTGCCATCTGTGCCAGAGGCCAGAGCTCTCAGCCTTCACTAACTGCCTTTCTTCTCTGCTGCTTCTGCTGCCAAGTTTGAGGCCCCGGGGCCTTTCTCGGAGCAGGCCAGCCTGCTGGACCTGGACTTTGACCCCATCCCGCCTGTGGCGAGCCCTGTGAAGGCACCCACACCCTCTGGTCAGGTTGGTTGTGCCCACCACTGCCCATGGGCCTGCTGGCCCCTAGGGCTCGGCCCTGGGCTCACATTCGCCCACTGCTATGTGGGTCACACAGGCCTAAGCTCATGGGGATCACCAAGCTCCCGTCCCCTCATTGCCCCACAGCTGGCATCGTGGCCCTCAGGGCCCACCATGGGGTACAGCAGAGAGTGGACAAGGGCCCTGGGCTCACCCTTAGCCAGACATGTCCTGCAGTGCCGTCTCAGCAGCCTCTGAGGAGGCTCTGGGACTGTTCAGCCAGCTCTGTGCCGAGAGCCCTGGGGTAAGAGGTCCCCAGAGATTGCTTGCCTGCCCCATCTCTAACTCTGTGCTAACTCTGCCCTTTCCCCCTCACTGCTGCGCTCAGTCCATCCCGTGGGACCTCTGGGAGGTAAGCTGCATTCACTTTGTGCCTGGCCCTGCTTTCCCAGGCCTGCCCGGGCCCACAGCCCCTCTCTCAGCCCCACCAGTCCGTGGTGCATACGCACACCCGCAGGCACAGCCAGCTGACCTGAGGCCACCTCTCCAGCTTGTTTGCTGCCCTTCCTTGTCAGGCCTGTGGGAAAGGGGACCCTGGCTTGCATGAGACGAGTCCTCCGTGATGTGGCCCAGTTTTGAAGGCTGCAGGTGTCTACCTGTAGATCAGCAGCTAGGTGGTGGCCAGAGTGTCCTCATGTGGGGCGAGGCCTGAGAAGCAGGAGGGCCTCATCAGAGAGGCTCTTGCTAAGCCAGGAATGCATCGGGAGGTGCAGGGAGCTATCGGGAGGGAAGGGAGGAAGAGGTGAGCAGATGCCCTTGGGGAGCAGGGCCTGTTGCCAAGACCTAGGGCAGCTCATTTAGGACTAGTGTCACCTCTGCCTGTTAGCTCAGCAGGGCGGGAGCTCAGGGAGGGCTTTACATGTACCCGACACCTGGCAGCGGGAGAGCAGGACTTCCATGCAGCCTCCTGGATGAGGGCTGAGGCCTCCTGACATAGGCAAGGAGCCAGGCCTGGTGGATGTGGCACACATGTGTCCCCAGGGTGCACAGTGGTTAGGGGGTTCCACAGAGCATTTCACAGAGAAGCAACCTGGTGGGTGTGGCCATCGCACCTTCCGGTCCCCTTGACAGTGACAGGAAAATGGGGTGGGAGGGGTGACCCCCTTACTCTGGCCTGACTTGGGAGCCCCACTTCCCTGCTGGCCCTGGCTGCTGACGACGCCTTCTCTTGTCTCACTACCCTTCCCACCGCCTCTCCCATGGTCCCACTGCCCTCCCCTGTTCTCTCCTTGTGGCCTGGTAGCAGCCCACAGAGAGTCCAGCTGGCAGCCGGCCTTCTGGGGAGCCCAGCGTTGCCGAGGGCACCTTTGCTGTGTCCTGGCCCAGCCAGACAGCTGAGCCAGGGCCTGCCCAAGTAAGTGTCCCTCTTCAGCTCGGCTCGTCCTCCCTCAGGTGTAGTGTAGAGAGAGAGCCCAGAGACAGGATGCAGAGTGGGCCAGGCCCCTGGCCTTGAGAACAAGGGGAGCCCCAGGACCTGAAGACAGGGCTCACCAAGATGTGCTGAGTCACATCCACAGCTGTGCTTACTGCTGCAACAGGGTGCCTGGTGGGGAGTGGCGCACCTGAGAACAGGTGCCAGTGTACGCTGGGCACTTCCTGCACTTCTCTTCACCTGATCTCTGAAATCTCATCAGCAGATGCTTCTTTTCATGGATGCGGAGATAGAGGGCAGAAAGGTCAGGTAGCTTGGTCCAGTGCTTAGAAATGGCCAAGGGGACACCCCTGTCACCATGCAGCATCCTCAGGGGAGGAGGCAGTGTCCAGGGCTGGACCTCGCTGCCCACCTAGCCCATGCAGTGTCTGAGAGGGCACGAGCATGTGCTGCAGGCCCTTGCCAACCTACAAGGGACTATCCAGCAGGGAGGGTGAACCTGGGCTATGAGAGGTCCTGCGTGAGAGGGCAAGACCTGTGGGCCAGGGTCAGAGTGGCATCTAGGGACCTGCTTGTACCTTCTGTCCAGTTGCTCATACCCTGGCTTGCATCTCCCATGGCCTCTGTCCCTGTCCTGGTCACTTGTCCACCCTGTATCTGACTTTTTGCCGGCATTTATGTTGCAGCCAGCAGAGGCCTCGGAGGTGGCGGGTGGGAACCAACCTGCGGCTGGAGCCCAGGAGCCCGGGGAGACGGCGGCAAGTGAAGCAGCCTCCGTAAGATGGCAGGGACCAGAGCCCTGTCCTTGTCCCCACTGCCTGCTTGTCGCCTGCTGCCTGTGGACCCCGGGGTACCTGGCCACGCTCGGTGGAGCCGGGGCAGGTGCCTGGGCACAGGCTGACACCTTTCCCTCCCTGTGGCTGAGGGCCAACCCTTGAGGCTCAGCCCTGCTGACCTGTCCCCTGTCCCCAGAGCTCTCTTCCGGCTGTGGTGGTGGAAACCTTCTCAGCAACTGTAAACGGCACTGTGGAGGGTGGCAGCGGGGCCGGGCGCCTGGACTTGCCCCCAGGCTTCATGTTCAAGGTGAGTGCTGGCTGGGTCACCCTGTTCACCCTCTCTCACAGATGTGGCTCCGCAGGGCTGTGCCGGGGACCTTGGGCCTTGACGTACTCCCCAACCTCCACAGGTACAGGCCCAGCACGACTACACAGCCACCGACACGGATGAGCTGCAGCTCAAAGCTGGTGACGTAGTCCTGGTGATCCCCTTCCAGAACCCCGAGGAGCAGGTGTGTGGTGGGCCAGCCTCCTCCACTGCCACCGCAGTAGGTGCAGCAGCCGGCAGGGGGCAGCAGAGGCCGCTCTGAGAGAGTTGGGCCACACTGGGGCAGGGTCTTCCTCTCCTCCTGCCCCGTTCCCTGGTTCCCTCTCAGTGGGCCTCCATTGGCCCTGCATCTTGCAGGCTGCACACACAGGGTCTTGGGCCTCCCAGCTGTGTCCTGAGCTGAGTCAGCCCAGATGCCTTCCAGAGGTCCCCCTCACCCCCTGCTATGTTAGTGACTCTCTGAGCAAGGTCCCAAGGCTGGGATTATTATCACAGTGCTGTGGCCTGGTGGGAGGACTGCAAGTTTCAGCTCAGCCTGGGCAGTTTTGTGATTTAGTGAGACCTTATCTCAAAACACGTAAGAGAGCTGGGGATATGGGGAAATGGCTCAGTGGGAAGGCCCTGGGTTCAGTCAGTAATAGAAGAGAAAATAAATGAACAAATAAGGGAGGTGCCCTGGCTGAACCTGGGCTAGTCCCGGTTCTGTGGTTTGGTTTGGGCAGCTCTGCTGCCGTTGACATAAATTAGCCTTTGTGGGTTGATGGTAGTGCCCATGTGGACCTCTGAACTTTGTTCTTAGTTCAGCCCTGAGCACCTGCAGGCCCTGCACTGGAGCCTGGCCAGCCAGGGGCCCTTGTCATCATCCCATCCACAGGATTCAATTGTCAGGATGGCTGAGGGTGAGGCCAGGCAGGGGACCCCGGTCGGGGCTGAAGGGCACAAGGATGGGAGGCCTGAGTCAAGGATTTCCAGGCCAGTGCTGAATCCACTGGTTCTTTCCTGCCCCTATGCCTCCAGCGACTGCCTCGTGGGTTTCCTTGGGCTGGGTGGGGTTCAAGAGCTCTGCCCCCAACCCGTGGGGTGCATGGTTGTCTAGAGCCGACTGTAGGTGCTCAGAGGGAGCAGAGACCAATCTGTGACGAGGCAGGGGTAGGTGGGACATAGAGTGAAGCCATCAGACCAGGCAGCGCCCAGGAATAGCCTGGCTGCAGGGACAGGTGTACAGCCACCATAGCCCAGGGTGAGGCTGGGAGAAGCACAGGGCACCTGGCTGGGTGCACAGCGCATGGGACCTTCCAGAGCAGTCGTGGAGAACCTGCAGCACGCATGCCGCAGTGGGCAGTTGGTATCACAGAAAGCTCTGAGGTTTACCGTCACTGCTCTGGAAGCTGTCCACTGGTCCATGCCTCTGGAGCTTTGTGATATTGTTTCTAGAAGTGTGAGACCTGGAAGGAAGCCGCTGTTCTCCTCAGTAGGTTCCAGATGGCGGGAAGCTGTTGGGCCTGGGAGTGACGGAGTTCTCAGATGTGGTCAGACCAGCACAGTGGCCAGGCTGCTTTCCAGAAAGAGATCGCTTCCCAGGCCAGCGTAGGGTTCTCCTCACCCTAACTCCCGAGGACAGGCTGCTTACCTGTTTACCACCAGAGGCTGGTGGCAATGAATCTCAGGGAACATTGCCTGGAGGAGGAGAAAGGAACAGCAGGAGCAGGGGTTGTCTTGTCAGAACCCCCTCGACCCTGACCCTGGTGTGACCTGGGTGCCCTCCCTGCTGCAGGATGAAGGCTGGCTCATGGGGGTGAAGGAGAGTGACTGGAACCAGCACAAGGAGCTGGAGAAATGCCGGGGCGTCTTCCCCGAGAACTTCACGGAACGTGTGCAGTGACGGCAGAGCCCCTGCAGCCCTCTGGGCACTTGAAGAACATCTTTTCCTGAAAAATGTGTGTTTCTTTTCTGGGTTTTTTTTTTTTTTGTTTGTTTGTTTGTTGTTGTTTGTTTGTTTTTAAAACTTTTAAAAAGTAAAGGGAAATTGAGAGAGGGGAGACCTGAGCCAAAAGGTGTTCTCCTAAACATTAGGTTGTTTTCCAAAGAGCCCGGTCTCAGCCCGTCTGTGGAGTTCACCGGTGTACCTGAAGCTGCTGTGTGCCCTAGTTGAGTTCCTGGCATCCCCACCTACCTGCATGTGTGCCTGGCTGCAGGGCGGGCTGGGGGCCACCAAGCCACCACTGCGCTTGCCTGAAGCTTTGGCCACCGCCGGCCTGAGCAGGGGTCCTCTTTTCCTGGTAGCTGCAGTGCGTGGGGCCTAGTTGCCAGCCCAGTCTGGCCCCGCCCGCAGACTCTGTGTGCCGTTTGAAAATAAACCTTAGTGTTCAAAACAAAGCAAAACACAACATCTGGCAGGAATCACTCTGAAAGATGTCAGTGTGTCTGGTTTGTCTCTGGCATTCCATCTGAGGCTGTGACACTGCTGCCGGCTGGGGTGCCAGCTGCGTGGCCACTCTGTTCAGCTGGCGCTCTGGTGACATGTGCCCGAGGGTTGATATGTCCTGAGTGACCTTGGGAACCGAGAGTTGGGGACCAGGACTCTGCTCCACACATGAAGACCTTGAGGCCCACGGAGCTTGGGAAGCTGGTTGGAGATCTTGGTGAGGGTCTGGGTGCTTGGTACCCAGCAGCCCAGGGCCTGAGTCTGCCGGGGCCAGAGGGCCTGCCTGGCTCAAATGTGAGTTTGGTTTGCTGCCTCTATCCCATCTTGTGACTCCTGCTGAGCACAGCCTTAGCTTTGCGGGCTGGTCTGAATGGCCGGGGACACAGCAGTGGCCTAGGCTTTTCCAGGCACAGTGGAAGTTGGGCTCGTAGGCCCCGGAACCAGTTGTACTTGCAGGTGGAATGAATGTATGTTTATGTCACCCTGCAGTGGTAGTGAAAGCAGGAGAGTGGGCCAGCCCAAATCCCTGGCCCGGGACACCTCAAACTTCAGGTGCTTCTGAGAGGGGCTTGTTAAGCTGGGCGTTCTCGCCTTGCCTCTGGGGTGGACAGTAAGTGTGCATGGCTGACAGGCATTGTCACTTCCTTCCCGGCAGGACTCTGACTTTGTGCTCTATTAACACCATTCACTCCCCGAGCTTGCTCGTAGCTCTGGGTAGCTTTATCACACTTTCTGGCCAGCGAGCTGAGGGAGGGCATATCTTCCCTAATGAGACAAGTCACAACTTGGCCAAGTGTGGCTTTTACCTCCTCCTCCACCCTGGATGGAGGCTAGATTAGTAGCAGCCTTCTTGTGACCCACAGCTTGCATATGGGAGGGCAAAGAGACGCTTGCTGAGGACGGCAGAGTGAGCACAGAGGCGGGAGATGGAGTGTCTAGCCCAGCTGGTGGCCGTACTTCTGGCCTGTGTTTGTATGAAGCATCACATGACGGCACATTGTTTGTGTGTATTTGGGATCTGTTATTTGAACAGCCTTCTGACTGTTCCCGCATCTGTCCCTAGATTCTCACATTTGGCCTCCTTTAGTTCTGCACCCTGCTCTATGCAATTCTCACTGCCCATTTCCTCCTGCACCCACAGTGGGTCCAGTGTCCTCTGTATCTCCTGCTTATGCACCTGCCAGAGCAGAGCACGGCTGCCGGGGAGGTTTCCCTGAAACATGTTTCCCGTTGTTGCTGTGTTTGCACCTTTCCATGCGAGCCCAGGTCCACAAACTGGGCGCTGTGTACTCTGGACACTCCTGTTTTCTCCCATTCCCTGCGCGAAAGTGTATGTCCTCTGATGGCCATGACCCCTGTGTCCTCTTCCTTGTGTGGCCTCTGCCACACTGCAGCTGAGCACTCTCAGTGATGCGCCCTTTCCTTCCCAGCTGACCCAGCTCCTCTGTGGGACTGAGGCCCAGACCTCTTCCCACTTTGCCTGTCTTGCTGCTTGCCTCGCTGCAGGCAGCAGGGCGGATCCCCACACCCTCATACCTGCTCCCTGTGAGCCCCCTGGAGCCAGGCCAGCCCCAGCTCAGGAGGCGTGGAGCAGGAGTGTGCCGTGCCCGGCTACTGCCACAGTCTGCCTGCTGCTGTGTAGATGCCACAGGCTACTGCTCACTCAAAGTGAAGCCGTAAGCCATGGCTCCTTGCTCCCACCTGAAGAGGTTTGTTTTCAATTTTGCCTGTTCAGACTAAAGTGAATCCACCCTGTGCTGGCTAGGGCAGGTTTCCCTTGCAACTTCTGTCCTACTGTGGGCTCAGCTGTTACCCAGACTGAGCCCAGGGCAGACAAAGAACCAGAGAAAGCTTCTTTTCCCCTTGGAATCCACTCTGTGGCCTCCACAGCCTGTTTAAAGCCTTCAAACTGGCTTCCCCTCAGTAAGCAAGGAGTTTGGGTGACAGGGTTATGTTGTAGCAAGATTGCTCAACTCTGCCACCGAGCCTGGGCGTGTACTCATTCTCACTCTGATACTCTTGGGATGGCAGTTTTCCCAATGTTGATTCTACTTTGTCCTCCTGTAATCTGCTAATCTTTCTATTTTGGTTGCAAGAATTTTATGGGAGACCGTAAGATCCCACAGCAGGGATAACATGTCCATAGTAATCTGCACCAACAAAAAGCGCCCATCCTCACGAACATGTATTTTTCTAAATAATGTGGCGTGACTGCACACGTACCTGTGTGTGTCCTTCTAACAAAAGTGCGTGCAGTTGCTCTGCACATTCTAGAATTCCAGCTTGGGAAGCACCGTGAGCCTGTAATGGCAGTTTGGATGCCTGCCATGCTGAGAAATTATCCTGTGTCAGGGAATTTAATTTTCAGGCCATGGAAACATTCTGCTTGAAAGTTGCCTGTTATTTAGCATTGAGGTAGATGAGCAAGGAGGGAAGCAAAACATTTCTCCAGTGGAAATAAAATATCTGTTGAGGACAAAAAAGCCTGACAGAGCATATTTGGTTCTAGAAAGAGGGTCCTGCCAGCCATAGCCTGGGTGGGGGAATTCAGGGCTGAGCTGCTCTGCACGATTCTTCTGCTTTTGGTGGGAGAGTGTGGACAGTAAGGTGACCTGTGGGTGTGAAGACTCCCACCCACCCTGACTGGAGAGGCAGAGGGAATGAGGGAGAGCATCTGTGGGGGCCAGGCTCTTAGGAGAGGGCAGTAGGCCCTACCTGGAGAAGGACCTGGCATGGGAACAGGTATCCTGCAGGACAGGTATCCTGGTTGTAGGACACTGAAGATGGGTACTCAGTTTAAAATTGATTCTAGTACTCCGTTGAGTTGAAAAAACATCCTGGTTTTCTCTGCTAGCCTTGAGTGTGTTCCTATAGCACTGAGGAATCACGGGAAGGAACTGATTGCATGTTGGAGCTGACCTAGACCAGAGAGGGTTTTGCTGTAGAGAAGAGAGGGCTTTGTAGGGCTGATAGATGAAACACCTCCCTGAGCCCTTGCTTGGCAAAGCTTGTTGGAGATAGGATAGGAACTGAGATCTTCACAATAATTAGGAAGAGGCAAGGTGCCATTTTGCTTGGAGCAAAGGATCCAAGATCTCAAGGATCCTGATCTCAGAAGTCCAAGGGCCCAGAGCCAATGACAGGCAGATTCTTGGTTTGCATTTGGCCCCCTGGAAGCAGGTGTTGGAAATCAAGAGCTGGTGTGGTTCTACCTTGGCCTGTGGTTTTGCTTCCTACAAAAATGGTAGTGATACTTGACTCAGGCTTGTCTTGTGAATTAATAAGTATTGCATGACAGTTTGTATTTCTTTTTTTTTTTTTTCCTTTTTATCGGTACCTGGGATCGAACTCACGACTGCCTGCTTGCAAGGCAGACGCTTATGCCACTGAGCTAAATCCCCAGCCCCCGACAGTTTGTATTTCTTGAATTATTTCATGTTTTGCAGTGCTGGTGATTGAACCCAGGGCCTTAGCACTTCCTAGCGCTTTTACACATGTCTTATTTTGAGACAGGGTCTTGCCTAGTCTTAGGCTGCCCAGGCTGGGCTGAAAGTTTCAGTCCTGTTGACTCAGCATGTATCTTATTCAAATAGAAAAGCCTCATATTTTGTTTATTTTGGGTGTGGGGATGGAGCCCAGGGCCTCTTGCATTGTAGACGAGTGTTCTGCCACTGAGTCATACCTTCAGCCCCTCAGCGTGGACTTGTGTTTGCTGGAAAACAAGCCAAGGAACTGTCACTAACAGGTCTCACTTCCTTATTTGCATTTTTGGGTGATTTTCTTGCCTCTCTCAGTTTCCTAGACTATGTAATATTCTTGGCCTCTAGGAATCTGCTCAAGTCAGGGGTCTAGAGTGGTGTTCTTCCAGGAGTTTGCAGAGTTGATTCTCTGTGTACAGAGGCTTATTTTCCTTGTTACATGAGAATAATGCTTGACTTTGCCATCCACAAAGTGGCCTTCACAGCACAGTACAGTTCTGTGGCCAGAGAAAGGAGGCCAGGTTCTCAATGAACCCATGAAAATAACTGTATTCCCAAGAAAAGAAGACTGAGTAAGCTTTTGAATTGTGGGAGACCAGTGAGAATCAGATATTATTGAAAAATGTTTCCCCCCAAATTCAAAGACTCTATCCAAAAATGGGCATCTGAAATGAATACACAGTTCTCAGACAAAGAAATACAAGTGGCAAATAAATATATGAAAAAAAAAAGTTCAGCATCATTGTCATTAGAGAAATGCAAATTAAAACAACACTGAGATTCCACTGCACTCCAGAAAGTATGACTATCACCAGGAAATCAACCAATAACAAATGCTGGTGGGGCTGTGGGGAAAAAGGAACCCTTTTCCACTATTAAAGGGAGTGTAGGCTGGTATAACTACTGTGGAAATCTATGTGAAGATTCTTCGGAAAACTAGAATGAGAGGTCCCATTCGACCCAGCTGTACCTCTTCTGGGTATTTTCTCAGAAGAATTCAAAGCATCATACCACAGTGATATATGTGCACCTAGGTTTATAGCAGCACAATTTGTAATAAGTAAATCATGGAAACAACTGAAATGCCCTTCAAGTGAGGAATGGCTAAAAAAGATGCGGTATTTTTACACAATGGAGTACTACTTAACTGTAAAGAAAGATAAATAAGGCCTTTATAAGTAAGTGGATGCATCCAGAGACCATACTCACAAGTGAAATGAATCAGATTCACATGGACTAACATTGTATTGTCTCCCTAGTGTAAGAAACTGAAAGTAAACTGATCTAAAAGGTACAATAGATACTGTGAAAGAGAAAGAAATTGCTCAAAAGGAAAGAACAACAGGTAAGATAATTGTGCTAATTCATGGAAAAGGATGAGGCTTATACTGCCTGATCAATTTTGCATTCCTGTATCTGATAATCTGAGCAACTAGTTTGAAGATAACAATATGCAATATAATAATGATTGGTGGCTTCTACCGGTTTGTTTTGAAACCCTACATTTTTCTTTTTGTTTTTTTAACTCTTTAAAATAAAACAAAAAAATTTCACTTGACAAAAAGCAAATTCTATTAAATCACAGGATAAGAAGGAAGAAAAGTGCTTGCTACCAGGTCTATAAATGAAGGAACACTAAAGTGACAATGATACTTCAAAATAGGACCCCAGTAAAATGGGCTCACTCAGCGCTGTGCGATTGATTCCTGCTTGCTGAGTCCTGATCCGTAGTGTACTTTCTGAAGCGCTTCCTGAGTGGAGAGGCCTGGAATCCGGATTTCACTGTCACTGTGGCCTGAAGCTCCCATCAGGAGGCCTAGCCTGGCCTTCACTAGAGACACCACACCCAGCTGCAGCTCATGGCAGAGCAAAGAAAAAACTGACTGCAGATGACAAGAACTGTGGTTAATTTATGACAGCAAGCAATAATACAGACAGGAGGCTGAAATCCTCCATTGGGAAATGACTATTTCATGAGTTTGATCAGTGTTAGGGGAAAATGGCTTATACAGATAGCAAAGGTACTGGCAACCCTTCAGGGTCTTCTCGTAAAGCAGGCGAGGTCTGAAATATTTATGTGAATGGTGTTTTACTGATACGAACTCAATTTGGGGAGACTAGCTTCTCTCATGCAACCTTGATGAACAATGAACATAATTACTTCTAGCAACGTTCTTTTTCTTGTTTTATAAAGGGAAACAACAGATCTTTGTGAATTTGTAGGGGACCTCTAGTAGGTATCTAAGCATATTTTAAAGATTTTTTTTGCTGTTTCTGTATTTAAGATATGATCTCAGGAAAAAAAAATTAAAGGAGTCATCCAAGATGAGGAAACTTGATTCTTAAAGAATATCATGGGTGCCTGAGAGACAAATTTTGCCCATCCTTGTAATAATTTTAAAAACGGTAAACATAGAAGGTGACATGATTTTCAACTATCATTTTCGCAAGTGAGGGTTTGTGTGTTTTGATTTAAATAATAAAGGACATAATACAGTCAGTAGAGAACACAGACATTTTCCTGGTGAGACAAAAAAGTATGCAATACTTCACGAATGGTAAAGAGTAACCTTTCGTACTGCAGACAAAGGCAGGAATCAAGGAAGGCGAGAGGCAGCAAGCCCATCCGAGTGTGAGAACTTTGCCAGCATTTTAACCTATTTCTGAGAAGAAGGTGTCTAAAATCCAGGCAAATAAAATTCAGCCCTTTCAATGCAGTCTTCATATTCTGAATCAAAATACTCTTGCCATCTAAAACAAAAATATGCACATTTCTATTCTTTGCTTTTGCTTTATGTGCACCACCAACCACTTGTGTTAATGATAACTTTCATCTAAGCTAGCCAGCTTTCACAGAACACACTGGGAAGGTGGCAGCAAGTTGAGAGAATGCTCCTTCCAGGAGCATTCCTGCAGGTTGGCAGAGGATATGAACACACATGTGTGAATCTTCACAACCACAGATGCCTTGTAGTCCTTGAGGTGTCAAGCAGAGATATGTTTATTAACAAGACTCAAACATAGAAACAGCATGTACAAAAATAATCAAAACTAAACAAAGTACTTAGAAATTTAGCTAAGTATCCAATGGTTCCATTACTGAAATACTAAGATTTTTGCTAGCTAGAGAGTTTTATTTAATCTATGACAAAACAGGTTAATAAATTTGTCTAAATAATCATTCCCTTTAATATCAGGCGTGGTGGCGCACACCTGTGATCTCAGCACCTCGAGACTGAGGCAGGATCACAGTGAGTTCAAGGCCAGCCTAAATCCATGGCGATGCTTCTGCGTGGTGAGGCTGCTGCACAGTTTGTCTCCCTGTTGCCCACAGGAACACCAGTTTTATGGTTCTCATAAAAGTACCCTACCCCTGAGCTCCATGCCTCCAGATACTCCTTTTTTCAAATCAAAATCGTTGAGCTAGTCTGACATCAGAGATTTGCCTTAATGATGCACACTTGGATTTGTAAAACTATTTCTTTGCTAGCTGATTTTGTATGAGATCATGTTGTTTCAAAGTGTAGGGATTGTGAGAAGTTAGGATTTTTTTATAAACTGATCAAAACAGTATCTTTGATTTAAGAGATAATAATCTTTAAAAAATTTTTTTTATTTAAAGAGAAAAAATCAAAACAGTAAAAGGGTAAAAGTAATACAGAATTTCAAAAAAATAAACAGAAATCACTAGTTAATAGATTACATATTGTCATCTTAGAAATAGTTGTTCAAATTACAAAATTAAAGCATACAAAGTGGACATTCAGACAGTGAGATTGCATACAGTTCTGTTCAATGATCCAACAAAAACTTAGTAATATGGTTTTCTGTCTTACACACTTAAATATACATGCAGTTATATCCTTTAGATCACTTTCTTTTCCTCTCTTTTTTACAATAACAATTACACATTTTGGGTTTTATCACTCCCACAGTTTTTATTACATTTTTTTAAAGCGAATAAAGCCAAATGTGACAAAACAAAACATAGTCAGTTAGAACAGAAGGATGGACATAGTACATGATGTAAAAACAGAATACCAGGTGATCAACAATGGTTACCATTATGCCTCTTGCTATCTTAAAAAGGATTGCCTATATCATCAGGTATAATAAAATTGAACAAAACAGTACAGAACAAAACCAATAAAACCTAAACATTGGAGACCTTACAGGACTTCAAAAGAAGTTAATAGTCAAACCAGAATGGACATCAGAGTGAATCTTACTGCCTTCAAAGTAGTTGCCTATACCCTCAAACTTGATACTATCAAACAAAACAGAATAGAGTAAAATCAGTCAAAACAAGATGGTGAAAGCAATACAGGGGTTTAAATCAAGTTAATAAAAAAGTTACTATAATATATCCTGCTATTTTTTAATTTATTTTTTCCTTTAAAAATAATAAGAAAATAAAGTTAATTTTTAAAAAAAGGGGAGATTGAGATAAAAGAGGGCATAACAACATAACAACACAGGTCAGAAAAGAACAATTTAAGCAACATAGTGTTTCACCACCAGATAACCTGACATGATAGTAGTTACCATAATGTCTTTTCCCTTGAAATACTTGAGTATAACTTCGTATACCATAGTGTCAAACATTCAAGACAGTGTGAATATTTCAAGAGAATGAAAATATTACAAGGTATTTAGAACCAGCTAACAGAAAATGAACAATGGTTTCTATATTATCTCTTTGCCTATAAAAAATTGATTATGTTATCATATAATAAAATCCAATAAGATACAACATGGTAAAACCAATGGAGACAGAAGAACAACAGCTTGATGGGATTTCAAAACAAGATGATATTAAATCAGCACTAGCTATTTTGATGCCTTGTTTCTTCAAAATAGCTGTTTATACTATCACAGACAATAAAATCAAACAACCCAGAATAAAACCATTCCACTAAATGAGTGAAAACATTATAAAGCTTCAAACCAATATAATGGGGAATAATGATTACCACATACTTTTATGTATTTTTATCATTTCTTACACTAGGGAAACCAGTATTTATAATCTTAATTCACTAATGTATTTCCCACTACATACCAAGTGGGCACTGCAGGTTTTGCAGGAGTTTGGAATCACAGACACACAGGGAGGCGGTGCCTTCAGCCCAGCCACTGCAGTCAAGGCTGAGACAAACACGAAACAAGGTTTTCGCAGTCCCACATCTCAAGAGCTGTTCCTCCTCACAGTGGGCCTGCGTTGTCACCTGCTTGAGTGCAACAACAAAGGAACAAGGACTAAGGAGCTGCATTTTCTGCCATCTTTCACTTAGAAAAGGTTGGATCCCTACCATCCGTTTGCAGAGATTACCAAATGGTCAAATCGTAAACTAAATTGCCAATTGTAGCCAAGAGCGGAGTCTAATTTATCAGTCACATATGGACCAGAAATAAAATATAAACACAAATTCAGCAAAGATTGGAGAGATAAATTGAGAGAAACAAAAGTGAAAGTTCTTTGGTTACTTGGAATTCTCTCAAGAGGCCAAGAAATGAGACGCTTTACCCCCAGTACTCACAAGGTGCCTTTTGGCAGAATCTGCTTGGTCTTGCTGTGGTACTGCTAACATTGTTGAAGGGTGATTTTCAAAAAGGTAGAATCATAGCTTTAAGAAATATAAATGAATGCATGTTAAAGATTGTAATGAGGTATTCTTGAAAAAGGATCCAGTTCAAATATTTATGTTCTCCACTGGGCAAAACCCGTTTTTGCACTACAATGGACAGAAAATGTTTTTACCATCCAGCCTTCTATGAATTAATTTATGTCTAAAGAATTGCAAGGTAGCCCAGCTAATGACAGTCAAAAGTATGTGTCCCTGTGGAGTCACATAGCACCTGGACAATAGCCAGATTTCAGTGAAAGGTCATTCTGTCATGTTTTTTTTCTCGCCATTCCAAAGTGTTTTCTTCCTGACAGAAGGATATAAGGAAGTACATCTGCCACAGAATAGAAACCAGATTAGTGGCAGATACTGTTAAGCTCAGTGACTAAGGGTGGTCAGTTGCTAACATTTTATTGGTGCATTTTAGATATTCATGGTCATGGTGTATGATCTTCTGGATGATTTGCTACATCTTGTTTGCTGGTGTCGTATTGACCGGTTTTGCATCCATGTCTATTAGGGAGATTGACCTGTAGTTCTCTTTTCTGGTTTTGGTATGAGAGTAATGCTTTCCTTCTTCCAGGAATGAATCTGGGAGTATTGCTTGCCTTTCAAATTCATTAAAGAGTTTGAGAAGTAGTAATATTAGATATTCTCTGAAAATCTTGTAGAGTTCAACAGTGAGTTAGGGCCTAAGGATTTCTTTGTTGGTAGGTATTTTTAATTAGCAAATCTCTAATTTCATTGACTGATATTGGGTTGTTTAGAATTTTTATCTTCTTGACTCAGGTTTGATAGTTCAATAATACCTAGAAATCTATCCATTTCTTCTGTGTTTTCCATCTTATTAGAATACAGGTTTTTGAAGTAGGTATTGAGGATCTTCTAGATTTATACAGGATCTGTTGTGATTTTACCCTTTTTATTCTTAATTGCATGGATTTGAGTCTATTTTGGTAAGGTGGGCTGAGAGTTTATCAATTTTATTTCATCTTTCGAAGAACCAACTCTTTGACTCATTGAGTCTTTGTATTATTTTCTTAGCCTCCATTGCATTAATTTCTGTTCTAATCTTTATAATTTCTTCCCTTGTACAAGCTTTAGGTTCAACTTTAGGTTGGTTATTTGAACTCACTGTTTTTCTGATATGGGTAGTCACTGCTATAAATTTCCCTTGTAAGACTGCTTTCATTGTGTCCCATAAGTTCCAGTGTGTTGTATCGGGATTATTGTTCAATTGTAGAGTAATTTCTTCTTTAATTGTGTCTGTGACCCACTGGTTGTTTAGAGAGGGGTGTTTAATTTCCATATATTTATGAAGTTCTTGTGGTTTCTTTTGCCTCTGATTTCCAACTTCATTGCTTTATGGTCTAATATGTATAGGATAATTTCAATTCCTTTGCATTTACTTAAGCAGGCATGTGGTCTATTTTAAGCTAGTATGTGGCCACATTTAGGGAATGTCACATGTGCAACTCAGAAGAATGCTTATTCTGATGTCGTGGGATGGAACACTCTGTAGACATATACTTAAGTCCATTTGTTAAAAAATTGGATTCAGTTCTGATAAATTTATTGATTTTTCTTTTTGTATAGTTGATCTATTTGTGACAGTGACGTATTGAGGTCCTTCATTACAATTGTATTAATGCTTATTTGATTTTCCATGTCCATTAATATTTTTATATGGTTGGGTGGGCTGGTATTTTGTGCACACGTTTATGATTGTTATCTCTTCCTCTTGGATTGCTCCCCTTACAAGGACATAAAGACCTTCTTTGTCTCTCTTAACTAGTCTTGTCTGGAAATCCATTATGTCTCCAAATAGAGACACCCTTTCTGGGTTTCTATTACATGGGCTATTGTTGTTCATCATTTTACTCTCAGTATGTGAATTTCTTTTGAAATTAAATGTGTTTCTTGTATATAGCATATTGTTGGATCTTGCTTCTCAATCCATTCTGCCAGTTTGTTTCTTTTGATTAGTGAATTGAGACCATTTACATTGATGGTTATAACTGATACGAATTGACTTACCCTTGTCATGTTACTTTCCAGTTGTTGGTTTGCTTTTCTTCCCTTTTGTTCAATTGCTTGATTTGCCTGGTAGATTCATTCTTTTGAGGTTCATGGAGCTGTAGTCCTTGTTGTCTTTCTAGAATGTCCTTCAGAATGTTTTGGATTGCTGGTTTGGTGTTCATGAATTTCCTCAGGTATTCTTTGTCATGGAAGTGTCTTATTTCTCCACGAATTTTTGAAAGATAGTTTTATAGGGTACATCAGTCTGGGTTGGAGGAAGTTTTCTTTTTAGGATTTGAAATATTTCACTCCAAGCTTTCCTTGACTTCAGGGTTTGTGTTGAGAAGTCAGCTGTGATTCTGATGGGTTTTCTTTTGTAAATAATTTGTTTCTTTTTTCTAACAGCTTTTTTAATATTCTGTTTTTGTGCTAAATATCTGGAATCTTGACTATTACATGCCTTAGTTTAGATTTTTTTGAGCATAGCTGGTTGGAATTCTATGTGCCTCATTTATCTTCACATCAAATTATTATTCCCTGCTTGGGAATTTTTCTGCCATTACTCCTGTGAGCAGGTATTTTATGTCATTTATGCTATTTTCTCCTTTTTCATTGACTCTGATCAATCATATATTATTTTTCTTTGCACCATCTTGCAGCTGTTGGATTGATTTTTCATGGTCTCTTGATATTTTAAAGAAATCTTTCATGAGTGGTAGCTGCAATTCTGTCTTCTGTATCTGAGATTCTGTTCACATATTGACTCATTCTGCTGTGTATACTTTCAATGGAGTACTTAATCTCATGGATATCTGAATTTGTTTTATGGATTCCATTTCTTTTCTATTTTGGGTGTTCGTGGTTTCCATCATTTTCCTAAAATTTATCTGTGTCTACTTTAGAGTCACTATGCATGTTTTTCATTATGGTCATCATCTTTAGTTATCTGATTAGTTATTTTTGGTTTTCTAGAACCTCATTCATCTGCTTTGTTATTTCCACTGTTACTACTTCAGAAAATCTAGGTGGGTGGCTTTTGGATTGTTTCACCTCTTTGCCTCGTTGATTTATCTTTGATGAGCTAGAAGTCTGAGGTTGCATCTTGCCTACAGAGTGTCCTTGATTAGCCTAGGGTGCCTTAAGATACAGACAATCACTCTGACTCGGTGCTTATCAGAGGTATGCAGCTGGACTATAGATACTGTCCAAGTCAGAAACTTGGTCAGAGACCTCTAATTTCTATCTATGAAATACATATGTTTGCTGTTTTATAAATGTGTTCTTACATTATAATTGTGTCTCAACAAATTCACTACAACTATATTAGAAAAACAAAACCAGAAAATAAGTATTGGAGGAACTGTGGAGAAGTGTTTTTCTGTTGGTGGAAATGTAAAACACTGCAGCTGATGAGGAAAACAAAATGAAATTTTATCAAAAAATTAAAAATGAATTATTATATGATTTAGAAATTCTGTTTCTGCATGTATACCAGGAAGAATTGAAAGCAGAGTATTAAAGAAACAATATATATTCATGTTCACAGTAGCATTATTTACAGCATCTAAACTATGGTGTCTATCAGTGGATGGATAGGTAATCAAAATGCAGTCATATACAAAATAGAATATTACTCAACCATAAAAAGGAAAACAGTTCTGACACATGCTATCACATGAATGAAACTTGAGGTCATGGTATGGAGCATCAGATGGTTAGAATAGCATGGGAAATAAGCCAATCACAAAAAAGAACAATGCATTATGATTCTAGGGATAGGAAATACTTGAGATAATCAAGAAGTAGAATGAATTTGTGGAGGTGAGTGGTTGTGATGAGTTTGCCACATCATTGTAGTTCTCCTGCGTCAGCCTTTTACTGGTATTGAACTATACACTTAAAAACTGATGGGATGATAAATTTCATGTCATGTGTTGAAAGCAGAAGAATAACCTGGGATTTGTTATTCACATAGTGTGAGTTTGTGCTTTAGGCTTTTTAAGCCTCAGTTTTCACGAGAGGGAGAACTCAGTATTATATTATCCCTCCTATTCTTTCCCTCTGCCTTCTTTCTTAAAAATGTAAAACTAAGTATCATCAATCTGGAGTTTTATATAATTTAACCATGAGTCGGAAAATGCTTATTTTGACTTGGGAAATGTAGAATGAAAACAAGACAGTAAGATCCCCATTGATCGATAGCCATTACCACGAAAATGTGTGCTAGAAAAACGGTTGCCCCGAGATTTCCAGATGAGAGAGCCAGGTACCAATGAGCTTTTCACTTAGTTGAGAGCTTAGTTCCTTAAACTGTTAGGAAAACTGTCATAAAAATTTAAAACGTTTTCCCAGTAGAAATAAAAGTAACTTATGCCTTCCTTTGGATGGTGTTATAAACAATATCATACTTCTAATTTTATTTTCTAATTTACTTGTCATCTCTACAGAAATAAAATTGTATTGATTCAAAGACTTGTACAAAAAATGTTCATAGAAACTTTGCTCATAACAGCTTCAAGCTGGAAACGATGCAAATCGCTACCACCAAGCGATGGATAAATTACCTGTGGTATTGCCATACAACAGAATACTGGTTAATAAAAAAGGAGGAAATTATTGATTTATACTATGGCATGAGTGAATTGCAGTCATTATGTGCGAAGGAAGTCAGCTGGCGGGGCACACCTGTGGTCTCAGCACTCCGGAGGCTGAAGCAGGAGAACTGCCAGGATTTTGAGGTCAGCCTGAACTACTCAGTAAATTCAAGGACAGCCTAAACTACATAATGAGACTTGTCTCAGAAATAAAAATAAAAGTCAAAAAGATACATACTCCATGGTTCCATTTATATACATCTTTAGAAACTGAAAGTTCTCCAGGGACAGAATGTGGACAGTGGTTTCCGGAGGATACAGGAGGTACCAGGAGGGGGCAGTGGGACGGAGAAAGCCCTTAGGAGTGGTGGGTATAGGCTGTGGCTCTGGGTTTGGCTATAGACATGTCACCATATCTGTAGTGGTCCCTTTCCTGTCCTTGTCACGTCGAGAAGTTTGTGTTTATAATCCCATGGGAAAGGTTTTGGAATTCTAGTGAGTTAATTCCAATCTACCCCCTCCAGTGTAACCTGTGGTGAGCATAAAGACACTAAAACATATTTATATTCATGGGAAATCAAGGGGTCTGAAGTCTGGCCCAGATGACACTTCAATGGAACAAAAGGCCTTGAACCAGGGCCTCGATTTTATTAATTCATGAAGAAGGGAGGGGCTTGAGGATGAGTGACTGTGAGAATGGCGGAAATACATGCGCTGTGAGCTGGGCTATGTGGGAGACCTGAAAGCACTTCTGCAACGTGCAGAGAGAAGATTTGCAGGAAGACCAATCTGCACAACACAGTTGAGGCAGCATTTGATATTAGGAGCTGGTGCTTCAGCTTCTGATGTGCAAACTTCTCTGCCCTGGGAAGTCACAGCCTCTCATCTCCAGGCTGAACTCAGCCCTGGACCCCTGGCTCTGTATCCTGCATGCCACCTGAACCATATTTAGGAAGACACTGGGATGGGGAAACACCTAGTTTCAAAGATTACACATCAGCACCTCAGCCAGCCCTATTTACATTGCTTAGAGCCTGTTTACGGGAAAAGGAAATAGCTTAATAGTTCTTACAGTGTTTTGTAGGTTTTCTAAAGTCTCCTATAGGTTCCTTCCTGTTTTCTGTAAAAAGGTCATTTAATTCTATTGCTTTTACTTTTTCATTGCCTGCCTACTGTCATGGGTAGAATCCCCATTATTATGCTAATATAAAATTAAAGATAGACGTTTTCTCCTTGCTTTTTACTTGGGGGAAACAGTCCTTCAGATTAAATAGGCTGCTAACTAAAGTTTACTTTTGTGTGTGTGTCCAACAAAAAACTTTATTCAAAGAACACAAGTATCTTACAAAATCCAAGACCAGATCACCAAATAGACAACAAAATGACATTCTTGAGACAAGTCAGTAGCTGGTTGGCTACAGACAATTAGTGCTCAATCAAAGTTGAAACAAAATGAAAAACTCAGAATGTTACAGCAACCGGAAGACATTCCATCTTGACCTGTATTTTCAGAATACAAGTTTAGTAGGACAGTAACTAGTTAAACTAGAATGTTGTGAAAGGATGAAACCAAGTAATTCTGGCCAGCGGGCTGTGCCACAGAGCAAACAGAAGGACTCAGCAAGTTCGCCTGAAGTGGTGCCTGTTGGGGGGGTGGGGTGGTTCCCTTAGACTGAGGCTGCTGCTCCACGCTGGAACCAAATCCAGTATGCACACATCCAACAGGGCCTGCTAGGAGAAATTACAGGATCCTTGTGTGAGTACAATGCAGATATGGTAAAAACAAGCTGATGCATCTTGGCAGTAGCAGAGCCTTTGATGCTGAGAAAGAAGGTAAATATCTGAGTGGTTAGGGAAAGATGTTTTTGAAGGAAATACTCCCGTAAGTGGTAAGTGTGGGAAGAAAAGACCTTTTGCAGTAATGTTGATGATATGGGGGATGATGTACAGAACATGCTGGAAAAATCTGGAGCTGACACTAAGGAGGTTCTCCTTGCCAAGAGAAAAGGACCTGAAATATATGGTAAAGCTTCTTTCAAAACCAAGAATGAGGAAATTGAACTTGAGGAACACAGGCGGAAACATAATCAAGAATATTCTCAGCCATTCCTTTCCTCCCCCCATAGTGGGTTATGAAAAGCTGAGAAAAAACAAAAACAAAATCACCAAAAACATCCCTACCTAATATGTTTCCACATCATAATTTGAAAGGGAAGCCACAGGGTCCCTTCTCCCTCAAGCTGTGACTTTATTGCTGCCTGTCACAGCCTGGGTGGCTGTGTACTGCAATGGTCATCTTGGTCTCCCACTGCTGTGTCCACTACACCTGTGCTCAACAGGGCATGGTGTCACTGGAGCAAAACAGTCAGCCCCCAGGGGGAGCATGGGTTAGCCCACCAAGACAAATAAGCTTCCAGGACAGAACAGGGAAGTGACTCTTGTGGCCTGCAAGTCTGTGCCCATTATGCATGGGGACAAGGAAGGTGAGCCTGGCAGCCTGATGCCTGAGCTGGGAAGTTCCTAGACACCTGGGCTCATCTGTGGTGCTCAAGAGGACTTGAATGTGACCCCCATTCATCTATTAGTCATTAGTAAAATTCAAAGGATTTATTTCTTCCTACCACTGGAGTACAGGCAGTGAAAGCTCACGGGAAGGTGACAGAACTCCAATTGCACCCCACTGCCCTGGGTTAGGCAGACTCAAGATTGCCAACACTTGATTGCTGTGCATACTGGAAACCTATTCTGCTCCCAGCCCTGGGGTCTGAGCACAAAAGCTTGAGCAAAGAACATCCTGAATTTCTTCCTTTGACCCCAGGTATTCTAGGACCTGGAATCTGTCAGTGTGCACTTCTTTGGTCACTACACAAGGAATCTGAGGCATTTCATCAGAAAAGAAAGAGGTGTCTGGGGTCAGTGTTGGAAGGACACTACATCAGTAGGAGCTGACCTCCACATGTCCGACAGGTGAATGTGGCTCAGTCTACATTTGGAGGCTGAGTGGTCAAGGGTCATCATAGGGTAATTGTTCCCTGAAGAGCAGGTGCTTCTCAAAAACTCTCCATTACTGAGCCCAGTGAAAGGGGCAAAAGTCGTCTTTCCTTTAGGCATTTTGTTCAGGCCAACACTTATACAGAATGAGCCAGACACTGCAAAGCTTTACTAGCATCCTCTTCCCCATGCTTGTGAGGATGCACAAGGACCTGCTCTCAATGCTTCTCACTTCACACTGAGTGCACAGTGTTACAGAACAGGCATGGGGAGGGGGCAGGAGACTGCTGTGAACACACAATGTGTGCTGCAAATTTATTTTTTTTTATTTTTTAATTTTAAAGAGGATAAAATTAACCAAAACAGAACAAAACAGAACATGAGAAAGTAATGTAAGACATACATTTCAAAGCAAGATAACCAGAGATCTTCATTATCTATCATATTATCTCATTTTCTTCCAATTAGTTGTCCATATCTTCACATACAGTGAGTTCATACAAAACAACATAGTATAAAACTGATCCAAACAGGACGATGAAGGGGCTTAGGTCTTCAAGACCAGACAATAGGCAAGTCAACAATGGCTGTCATAGTGTCTCTCATTCTCTTCAAAATAATTGTCTATACCTTCACGTATGTTGAAATGAAACAAAACAAAGCAAACTAAAATCACTCTGAACAAATAATAATAGTGTTGCTAGATTTCACATCAAGGCACTATGGAATCAGCACTGGGTACTGTGGTATCTCTTTTTCTTCAAAGTAGTTGTTCATTTCATCATGCATTATATAATCAGATGTCACAGACTGTAAGTTTTATGTATGCATGAGTCTGTACATGTATATCTATCCTTTCTGTATTACAGGGAAAAACAAAACAAAGCAAGACAAAACAAAACAAATTCCTAGAAAAACATGAAATGAAAAAGTCATATAAAACTGCAATACAAGGTGATCTACAATGGTTACTATGATGTCTCGTTATTTTCAATATCATTGTTGGTATCACCAAGCATAGTATAATTGAATATGGCAGTACATACCAATATTAATAAAAATGAAACATAAGTCTTCAAAAGCAGGTAATAATCAAACCAGAGTGGGTAGCCTAGTGAATCTTGTCATTTTCAGTGTAGTTGCCTATACTCTCAGATTTGATACTATTCAATCATATCAGATTTGAATAAAATCAGTCAATACAAAACAGCAATCTAACAAATCATATTCAAATAAGATCAGTCATAATAAGACAGTGTAAGTTATACATGGCTTCACATTAAGTTAATAGGAAATTAAGGATGATTACTATACTATATCCTGCTATTTTTGGGATACCTGTCTGTGCCCTCAAATCTAGTACATGTAGACAAACTGGAAATGAATACAATCCATCTAAACAGAGCAGTGAGAGTAATTTGGATTTTAAATCCTGATACACTATTAATAATATCCTCTGCCTTCCTTTTTTAGACAGTTCTTCCCCTTTCACTCCCACAGGGTGCACTGCACATTTTGGGCCCCACCAACTCCCTCAATTTTTAGATTGGGGGGGCAACTTGCTATTTACCTAAGTGGCTCCAAACCTTCTTACTCCTGGGCTTTATCTGAAGTTGTATTCCTTTACCTACAAAAACCTCAAGGTTTTCCTTCAGTATAGCTGAGTAGTTCTCTATTGCACAAAAGTATCCTGTCTTTCCAACTTATCTGTAGGTGCTGGTCAAGTTGTCTCTGTTTCTCTCTGGTTTCCTGTCACATACAGCATTGTTTTCTCATATTTGAATTTTGGTCCATAAACCCTCTTTCAGATTAATTATATTTCCTGTACAGAGCATCTCGATAGATCCTACTTCCTGATCTATTCTGCCTGTGTTTCTTTTGTTAGTGTATCAGGAGCATCTATGTTAGAGACCTCAGTCAACTATCACTGGCTCATCTCTGCTATGCTACTTTTCTGCCATTGGTTGTCTACTTTTCTCCTTCATTCCACTGTCTGCGCCATTCATTGAGGCCTCTCTGCCACTATTTCTAAAATCCTAGTATT